GACATCCCAGAACTTTTTATTTTTCGTTTTGAGACAGGGTCTCACTACCTGGCTAAATTGCCAGGCTAGGCTCAAACTTGTGAGCTCAAGCCTCACTCAGAGTGCTGGGATTACAGGCATGCACCACCATGCTAGGCTAGCCCGCTTCATTCCTGCATATAGTGATTCTATCTGACAAACAAGGCTCGTTGGGCCCCCTCCAAGGAGGTAGTCACGAGTCTGTATGATCCATCACAAATGGGGATAGGCTCAGGTGTGGCATTTCAAGCCCAGTAGAATGTAACGGCTGTTTTTCAGCAGGGATGTACCTGGCTGACTCAGGAGTGTTGGGGTCCAAAACTCCACAGGCAACTCTCCTTTTTCCAGTGGCTCCAATCTGCAAGCCCGTCAGTCACAGGAGAGTCTGTAGCTCAAAAGGACATCAGGTCATATGATCTCTTAAGATACTAGCCCTGCCAGGCACCATGGCATATACGTGAAATCCCAGCACTCTGAGGGAATGAGGCAGGAGGATTCCAAGTTCAAGCCCAGCCTGGGCAACTTAGCAACTCAGCAAGACCTTGTCTCAAAACTTGAAAAGGGCTGGGATGTAGCTCAGTGCAAAGGCTCTGAGTTCAATCCTCGGTATTGAAAAAAAGGATACTAGCACTTACCTAATTTCTGGTTAGCAGAATCCCTTTTGGCACTTGTGGGGCAGAAATAATGTCGAGGACTACGCATCTTCAGGTAGGCTTGGAAATCTGAGAGCATCTTTACTAGCAGTTCCCAAGGACTTCCTCCAGATCCCTTTAGTTGAGCCACAAGGCCCCGCCCTCTTCCAGGAAGCCAAGTCTCAGTCAGCATCCTATCTTCACTACAGAAACTGCAGAACTGTGCAGGGCTTGAGACTTCGCCTCCTGACGAGGTAACACAGTACCTGCCAGTTTCATGGGACTCTAGGCACAGCAGGGAGCCTGGTCAGCAGCAGATCACCATCAGTGCTTCCTTATACCCACATCCCAGAAAGGCCCAGATGGGCATCCGTACATGTCATGGCTTCATTACAGAGTACAGACCTCGAGCTTAGAGAGCGCAAAGGCTTTATCATAGGCACTGAGGATGCCTTACCCTCTGTAGGGAAGACACTGTCTCCCAAGGTTGAATGCAAACTTGACTTATGCTCTAGGAGTTGGGGACAGGGGTTCATTTTTCTTCCAAGATAGCTCACTATACAGACATCCTGGATTTCAGAACAGCCCAGGAGTGGCCAGCCAGGCAAGCCACTTCCTTGCTTAAAAAAAATTCAGAAATGTAAGACATCAGTTTAGAACTGGGGAGAGGGGGTTGCACGCGAACTTCTACAGTTTGTACTGAAGGCAGTAAAGACTTGTGAAATGAGCTCACGATTTCTACACAAATATTGAGACAGTGACAGATTCTTACCATTCACCAGTACCAACTCTGACCACTCTGATCCATTTCACCAACTTATATCAGATGAAATATGTGGATATCCATTAAAGCACAACCTCAGTATCACTTCCATTTCCAATGTTTATTTTCCCCTTTGCCCGCTTTTCTCTTTTCCTTTCAGGTCGACTAGCTTCACACGTAAGCCCAGCTAATCTTCACTGTTGGACAGGACCCAAAACAGAGGTCTCCCGATACACCCTCAGGAGGCCAGGAAGGCTTGAATCAAGGGGAGATTTCAGTCATAGATTAAAATGTCAGAGCAGATTCCTTTTGAGGCCATTCAGCTTGGCATGATTAACTGCAACATGATTAACTTAGTAAGAACTTTCAGATTCTAGAACAAAAATATACTAAGCACATCCTAAAAGCCCAAGAAATAGAGCTGGCAGTTACGTAAGGGAAGCTGGCTTATCTGAACATTCATCTATTAAGCCTCATTTTGTCCCATGACCCGGGCTTGTTAAAAGACTGCCACAACCATTAAAGCTCTATCCTCCTCTCGAGCCTGTCCACAATGGCTTCTGCAGGTTGGGGTAAGAGCCAAATACCGGGTTGCCCTCAATTCTGTCAAAATGTCAATGTACTTTTCCCACACAGTGAAACATATGCACAACCCGAGGCGGACCTCTTTTAAGGGAATAGAGCCGGCTTCCCTAGCTTTTTCCACCCCAAAGCATAGACAGGAATGTGCTGCCTCTCTGATTCTATGGCGAGATAGAATCCCAGATATGTTTATCATTCCATTATAATTCTTTACACTCTAGACCTTATGTTCTCAAACCACTCTGTTTTGGAGAAGATCTCAATGTTTTAGTAAAGTACAAACACCATCAGGCTAGTGTTATTGCGTCCATGTGTATGTTCTGGATTAAGGCACTTTTTTTGTTTAGATTACAAACCACATTACTCGATAAATATCTGAGAAAAATGGGAGTGGGTGAGTTGGAAATGAAAGTTAAACTCCACTTATTCTATGAATACAATCCTTCTAAGAAAAAAGATTCTTACGAGTGTTTAGTTTTCTAAATAACTTTGTAATGGACCAAAACCATATTCTTGAGGAAAAGAGCCAAGGTTTTTATTTTGGTGTAACTTAGACTCCTTTGGTCAAACAGGTCAACAAGAAGGTCATCAATCTCTTTGGCAAGAGCCATCCCCACTCCAGCCCCTGCACTACACAGATGAATCTATTTATGCCCTCCTTATCTACAAAAAAACCCCCCACACCATTACCAGGTTAGTTCGACTGTGCTTTTTCAAGGGAGATTTATTAAAATGGCACAGAAAAATCATTTCACCAAAACAAGGTCACCTTCGGTTTTTAATAAAGAAACATGTTTTATTTTCTATCTCCTTAGGTAGCAATACTTGGTAGTACTTCCAGCATAATATGTCGGCGGTTATTCTTACACAAGCAACCACAACGCCTTGTTCAGGAGACACCTTTGCTTATACTGGAATCTAGATAACGCAACCTTAACATCGGCTCTCCTGATGTTAAATCTTAACGGCATCTATGCTGCTTCCTTCCTCTACGCTGAGGATGAAATATATTACCTTAAAAGCTATTTCCATGTCTCAAACTTCCACATTTTCTACCCAAATAAACACAGCCAGTGCCGTGATCTTATGAGGTTGACTCACACTCTACTTTGCCCTACCAGACCTGGGCTCTGCTCTTTAGCTTTCTCAAGGATGCAGGGCAACTCCACATTTGAGTGAGTTTTCTCAACAAGGACACAGTGGGAAGACTCTTACCTCCCAGAGCTTACACAGATTGAAAGTGTTTCATTACACAACCCTTATATTTAAAGAGTTAGTCATGAGGAAGTTGGTGGTGAGCTGGCCCGCAGCTGGGTCACTCTGGGTAGGAAGTGGCTGAGAAAATATTAGCAGATTTTCAACTTTTTAAAAAATCTGCTGGCCACTTTGGCTAAGCACACCCAAGACCACCTACTCCACTACTCCCTCCCGGCTATAATAGTAAAAAGAAGTACTCACCAGAGTGGACAGGAAGAAGGTTATTTCTGATGAAACACCACCAAGGTAACTAGATTTTATGGCTGGGTAATATAGGCCAGAAACAAAATTACAGATTTTGCCATATGACAAACATTTGCAGGCCAGTCCGCAGACCACCTAGGGTCCGTCCCAGATTACACTGTAGAGTCAGAGTACAGAACTCTCTGAAATAAAGGAATCTTGCTAGTGATATTCCTGCTTGCAAGAGCATGGGGAATACAGTCTCACACATACAGCTCAAGCAACCCTGAAAATGATCGCCTATAACTTATGCAGAAGGTAATAAGATCCTCATGCCAGAAAAGAAAGTCTCTTTGTGGAGTAAGAGGGCATGAAACCTATACTCTAAAATCAGAATTGGTTGAAAGTGATCGGGTTTCTTTTTCACTTGTGAGTATCAACTTCAAAACAGCTACACAAATTTACACTCCTGAGTCTCGTGACACTTCAGGAATGTGAGACTGGAACTTACACACACGAACATAAGCATCACAATAAGAATTGCGCGTTAGAAGAAGTCAATCAGGACAACAAAAAACATTCAAAGTTTTTTAATGTGTTGGATAATTATTAAGAACAAAGTAACTAAAACTAATACTGGAAATTTCCAAAACTATTTGGAGTGATTTTGGTGACAATCTAGAAGAAGGACTAAGCTAAAATGTCATATTCCAACCGAGTCAGCTCCAAAGCTTCATACTCACCTCTCTTATAACCTCAAAAAATTTCAAATAAGATGGTTTATAACAGAAATACTGAAAATAAATCATCCTTGAATGCTTTTAGATTTTCCCCAGTGTACCACAAATCACATCTAGAAACCCAAACCAAACAATCACTGAAACATTTGAGACCTGCCGCTGAAATCCAGACCGGCAAGGCAAGAAAAGGGGAGCGAAGCAGAGAGCCTGACCTCTCTTTGCTTGGACAGCACCGGCCTTTTGGAGCTCCTACGCTGTGTAAGTTAATACTGTGAGTTCACAAAAGTCAGCAGTAACACTGAAATAATAATAATAATACAAATAAAAACAGGCTCTGGTTAGAAAGAGAGGATCCGCTTACCACCGCCCTGTGGAGGTACATTTGACCACCAACGGCAGGAAAGCCATTAGCATCCTGAATGAACAGCCGTGGTTGCAAACAAGATCTTTCCATGATGGACGCAGTGCGGACTCAGCAAAGTCTCTCCTTCAGGAAAAACACAGCTTCCATTTCAAAGCACACTGATCAGGCGCAATACCATTAGGGAGCCATCAGGATTTGTGCTGTTGTGCTTTCAAGCAGCAGTTACTTTGTAAACCAAAAAAACTGAGGGCAGTTAACTTGACCAACAGTCAAGATTTCAAGATTTCAGAAGGCGGGAGTGAATCCAAGGCACAAGAGCTTCAGATTCGCGTGGTCTGCGGGGCCTGGGACCTTTTCAACTTCCTCATCCTCAGCGCTCTCCCTGTTCTCACCTGTGTGCAGCTTAGAACTAGAAACTCAATCCCATCACATTCCTCCAAGAAGCCCTGAACTCAGTGCAGTTTTAGAAAATCATCATCAGGTTTATTGGTGGTCACGTAAATCAGTTACAAATAAAAATCAAAGCAGATTTACAAAGGAATAAATTCTTAACCACTCTTTACTGCCTACAACATTATGGGGCAGATACTTGTTAAAAGTCAACAACATTTTCTTTGTAAATTAATAGTAAAAAATATAACAGTTGAGTCAACCTCCATGAGTATTTGCAAGTACAAATATAAGTTAAATAAGGTTCAAAAGAGTTCATAACACATACAACAGAAGTCTCTAGAACAAAGATGCTTTTAAAATTGCTCAATTTACTTTGTACATTTTTATATTAAAAAAATTCTTGAAAGAGTCCATGTTTTCTGGATCACATATGAAAGTTTATAACCTGATGTCTTTTTCCGTCAAATAATCTTTCTTATCAAAGTCTACATTTTCACTCCTGGTTGGATCTTTCCTCCTTGGCAATCCTTTTTGTGACACCACTGAAATACTTCTCACGGAAGGAATTGTGACCTTGATAGGGGAGGAAAGGGTCGCTGAGCAGACGTGAATACTGGTCCCGGTTCTGGTTGATTGGAAAATACAAGATATGAGATGGTTGAGTTATTTCTTCAGTTAGCTTACAAATCAAGCAGTCACGTACGTGAAACAAAACCTTACTCTGGTTTATGTTTGCCTTTCTTTATTATGTGAGTTAGAAACATACAGTCCTATTACTCCCATATCATGCTTGGATATTTAAAGGGTTTTCACCTAGTTCACCCCAACTGAGATGCAGGACCATCCTCTCCCTCTAAGACAAACACTGTTATTACCCAAGGAGAGCAAAGAGACTTGTTCAGGGGATACGGTCAGAACCACAGGCTCCGTCTCAGTCCTAGCTCAGCACACACTGCGATCATCTGTGGAAATGAACGAGAATGAGGAGACCGAGGAGCTTCTATTCACAGAAATGAGTGTTCCAGAGATGACGGAAACTGCATGACACCACGGAGTCACTAGGACTCCACAGGGTTGAATTCACACTCAGGCACTCAAACCAGGGTTCCCAATAGAGCAGATCAGGCTGAACGAGGGATCCGCACACTTAGGCTTCAAAGACAACTAGGGCTGCGCTCAGAAGGCTGCTCCGTGGACACTGGAAACGCCAATCTGTGCTAGGATGTCAAACACATTTTGGCTGAGAAAACAAAAAGAAAGGCAGGAGGACTGGCAGGGACTCTGAACCATCAGCTTCCCATGCAATTTAACAAAGGCATCCCAAGCTGTGGCAGATTCTAAGCAGAAAAAAAATCTCACTGCTCAGCTCCCTGCACATTTGGTTCCACGTGGATCAATGTGGCTTCAAGAACAGGTACGATGACTCAATCAGAAAACGATTTGGTATCAAAATGAAAGCTACAAGAATATCTGAATATAACCACTCTCCAAACACTTTGTTTGTGCTTATTTCTCTGAGAAGTGAGCACCTCCGCCTTCCTTCTCATCTCTAGCATTAACAAAAGCCCAGGGTCAGCCAAAACTGTGTTGACTCATTCCTTTCTGCAGAAACTATTCTTGCAACACATATTTGTAAAATCACAGAAAATATTCTTGAACGTCCCCGGATTCCCTGATGCACCCAGTATAATTGGTGGCCCCTTGAGTTCTAGGGCACTAGTAGGTCGCAGTCCCAGTTCGCCAGCACATGCAAATACCCTTGCTTGAGGTGACATAATTGCCAATTGGTGAATATAATGTGGGCAACCTATAGGTGTACAACAGGCAAATACCAATGAAAAGTAGTATTAGGTAGGTATTTATTATGGGCCCAAAACTATACTAACGTTTTCTAGGCACGGTCTCATACAACTTATCCGCTAGAAGTAATGTGCACACTATCATTAGGTTTTCACTGATGAAGAATTATTTATGAACCGGGTCCCAGATAACAGCTGGCAAGAGGCAAGGCAAAGTCTGCACACATTTGCTGTGGAGTCTACAGACTGCAGCTAGAGGAAGCTCCCTCCAGGAGCTAAGCTGCTCCCAACTCAGGAGCAGCAACAGCTTTGGGAAGAAATAAGTGATGAACTAAGACCTTGGCAGCTAGGCTGCCTACCAAGGGGGCAGAGTACAGAAGCCCAAGCAGGATTTACTAGTTTCTATAAACTTAGCAGACATAGTTCAATCCCAGGAGGAGCCCCTGGAGCCGCAGGGATGCTGAGGGTACCACCCCAGTGGGACAGCTGACCTTGTGTGTGGACCCAGGCTGGTCCGCATCTCAGGACCATGCTCAAGCAGCAGCAACAGAAAACAACGCTCTAGCATTTACTTTATTGTGCCTTGGCCCTTTCCGCTTCTGTCACAAGTCTGAGGAAGAGGAAGGGACATGCCATCAGTGACTCCACCAGGCATTCTAAACGCTGTTCTTATGTCAGATAAAATCACTATAAAATCTGTCCATCTCCCGCCTGCCGCAGCTCAGTCCTCAAAGAAATGGCTGCATCTTCACAGCTACATCCACAGGCCACCATCTCCACAATGACGCACAGCTCGGTGTCATCAGAATCAGGACCTAGGTCCAACGCTTCTTCCTCCTCTCCTCTCATCTGCTAAGTCCTAAGGTCTTAGCTCCCATACACTAAAATCTCAGAGCCACTCCTCCCCACTCACAGTCCATCCCCTGCTCTCCTCTCTTTCCCCAAGTGGCCAGGTCCCCTGCCTGCGTCACTGCTTTGCCAGTGTATTGTCTACACTGTGACCACTCAATTTATTACAGTGCAAACTGCATATGCCACCTCTTGGCTAAAGTCCATGGGAGCTCAAATGTCCCCCAGGGGTCAGGCTTTTCTCTTAACACTGGGAGTCAGAGCCAACTACACATCAGTTTGCCAAAAGCCATCTTACTTGCTTTCCTATACAAGAGGGACCAGAACATAATCTGGTAGCAAAGCCCCTCTCAACTTTGTGTTTCTGTCCTCTGTCCTCTGCTTGGCTCCTGTGGGCCACTTAAGATCACTTCTTGTTCAAAATGCACCGTGCATAGCTTCAGAGAATACACCAGAGCTTCAGAGGGAGGAGGCTAAGGCAGGACATAAGCGCGTGGTTCTGGGGGCTGACACTAGAGGGCCTTGCTGATCTGTGCTACTGGCCTGAGGCTCACCAGGAACACCCAGGAGACAAAAGCCAAAGGCTACAGAAAACAGGCCTTGTTCACCGACCAAAGAGAACTTAACTAAACAGCATATGCGTGACCTGAAGGAGATAAGCAGGGCAAACTGTTGATAAAGAACAGGGAAGATAAAGCTCAACAGTAGAGACAGGAATGAACAGCACAAGCTGGAAAAAAAACAAGGTAATGATTACAACCTAGGCTAAGGATTATCAAGAAAGCATCCACTACCTACAACAGTCATCACCTGAATAGTTTAGACCTCAGGGTCCTCTTAGAATACTGCAAAAGCAAGATAAGCCTCAACAGACAGTGCCACTGAAACACAGTGGCACAGGCACACATGCCACCAGAGAAGTTGGGACGGATCATTAACCTCAGAAAGGTAATGCTGGGGGAGGAAACACTATGCTCTTTATGGCTCAGGCACTGGAGAAGAGTCAGTGTGAGGAGGCTGTCTGGGTCCTGTGTTGGAACGTCCTGTAATACCCACTGTCCCCCAGCTGTGAGACACAACCTTCACAACAGGGACTCCTGGAAAACCCAAAAGCTCCCAATCCCTAGAGTAGTCAAGGACCTGGCAGGAGCCTGTCACTATCTAGCTGCCTAAGTCCCATTTCACCACAAGCCAGACACCAAGGAATTTGGCTTTATTTTCAGCTAGACGGCAAGGTCATGGTCCCCCATGAAACATTTCATGTAGCATGTGTCATCATGAAGTACAGTGTATAGGTATCTACACATGTGTATAGATATAGGTATCTATAGCATGAGTATAGGTATCTCCTGTACACAGAAATACCACCTATCTACAAACAATACACATTCAAAGTACACCCAGCCCACCGGAAACGTGCTATCATTACACAGCACTCAGAATTCATGCCGTCTCAGTGCTGAAGAAAATGGCAAGCCCAATTTTTGCTTTCTTTTTTCTCTCCCTCTTTCGTCCTATCTTTAGATTACCTTACCAGGGCTCACACTTGACATAGTGATATTCAACTCTACATATTCTTCATCACCTTTTTAGGACTCCTCCCTATTCACATTCCCTGCCCATCTCTACCAGGAATATCTGCAGGTGCTGTTGTTCTTAACTCGGTACTCAAAGCCCAAAGTGTTTACTTAAGAGGAGAAGCTTCTATCTTCGAGCAATACGGTCTTTGATCTCCCTCATGCATGCTTATCCCAGAGAGTGACTTTTCATTTCTGACATTTCCAAATCTCCCTAGTGCTACTGACCATGGGATCCACAGCGTATTACAGAACTGAGTTCTGCCACTTTTTAATCAATAAAAAAAATACTTGATGTAAAAAAAAAAAAAACTACCCAAAAAGAATGAGTAAATACCTAAAGAGAAAACTATGGTGGTGAGAAATTCAGACTGATTACCTTTACGAACTTTCTTAACACTGGTAGTAACTAAGGAGACATGAGTAACATACTAAGATGGTCAATGACATTATTGTTTATCAGTATTTTTTAACCAGAAACTCCGTAGGAAAATTTGTGACAGCTTTCATACCTCTCCTCATTTATTCCTGTTAGACAAAGACCAACTGTAAATCTTACGAGATATATAGAAATTCTGATTTAAGAAAGGAGTTCATATATATATGCTGTTAAGTATGTGTTTTACATAACTCAGTTACCTAACTCTCTGCATCTTTTCATAGTAGACTTTCATCTCAATTCTGCAGATTGGGAAACAGGAGCTGAAGGAGTTTAAACACTTCCCCAACATCAAACAGCTAGTAAGTAGCATTCCCACAACTGCAACCTAAATCACACTTCAAAAGTTTGTGCTCTTTTCTTTACATTTCTCCACACACACTTTCCTCTCTGAAAAAAAAAAAAAAAAAATCATATCAAAACAATGGCTAAAGAAGTCATTTCCCACAAGGTAGACTACCAGTCATTCAAAACAGACGATATTTACAGGACATTCCCTGCTGAACATCAGTGCTATGGAAGCACAAATTTCACATCTGAACTTTTAAACAGAACCCCTTTACCCACTGTTCCACCCAGCCAATTTCCTGTCCTATCAGTGCTGCTAATTCTAGTGCTTTGTAAACCACTCTAGAAATTCTAACTCACTGGCCCAAGAAACCAGGAAAGCCTCAACTGGCAGTTCACTTTTATGCAGATACCGCCCTCTGCTGGCTGAAGCAAGTAAATCCTCCCAGATAGAAGTTAAACTTAAGTGGGTGCAGTCAGACAGTGGACCGTCAGGACCGTTTCCTCAGCTGTTTACAAGTCCTGAGCGCTGGAAACACCGAGTCTCGCAGCACCTACATGACCAGGATGGCCTTTTTCCCCAGTGAGCAGCAGCATTTATTCAACCACTGCATTTTTCAAAGACTAACGTAGAAATGGGCAAGTGCATATTCACCTTAGCGACTCTAAAGTT